CCAATCAGATTTTTTTTGCATCCAAGTCTGTGATTGGCTGGTTTTGTGGCACAAATATAACGGTGTACAGAAAGAGTTGAGCACACACGGGCAGAAATGTTGAGAGCGCGAACAACACATTTGGAGCAAGCGCGAATGCAAAAACTGAGCGAGAGGGGCTGCGATTGTGTGTGTGTGGATAATAGCAAACACTGAAATACAGTTTTTCCACGTAGCAATGAGTTTTGTTCACTCAAATTTAGCTTTTTTTTGCTCAAAATAAATTTCTCCTCAAAATGCAACACTTGCACCTGCAAACTGTTTTTAAGTGCGCTCAGAATAGTGGCACAAAAATAACGCCATACATCTGATCTTCCCCAACATGACTGAGCTGTTGAAGACATATGGAACACTCTGGGTGTCCACAGCAACTGTGGAGCGCTCTTTCTCAAAACTAAAACTAGTTAAAAACAAACTTCGCACCCTTTGCTCAGAGGAGAGGTTGTCAGACCTTCTTTTATTGGCAGTTGAGAAGGATGTTCCAGTCAACCACAGTGATGTCATTGACATCTTTTGGGACATTGCAAACAGAAAGTTACTGTTACAATTTGGGACAGGACATGAAGAGCATCTTATTCCTTCCTGCTCTTTCCAAAACATACCCTGTGTTTGTGTTTTCTGATTAATAAAATGTTTGATTTATCCTCCTGTTGGTTTATTTTTTTACTGTTGGATTTTAATATTTGAAAGAAAGAAAGAAAGAAGATTACAGTTACAGTTCTACAATTTAATCCCTCCCACGTAAAGTTGATGCTGTGATGGTCTGTGCTCTGTGATGCTTAGAAGGTGCTGTTAACAGGACACACACACTGTCTGTATAGATTTTTTAATACATTCTCACCCTACCATGACCCCTGTCATTTGTACTACTAATATCCTGGTTTCAGTTTACTTCCCAGTTTTTTTTTTTTAAATCTGTTGCCCTATGGTTCCAAGCATTGTCACCAATCTTTTTACATTTTATTTTTATCTCAAAGCACTTGTTTAATCAGCTACCTATGGACTTTTTAATGTCTACAGTCTCAAAACAACACAGCCCTGTCCAGCACTATCAGCAGCAGGAGCAGCAGTAATTCCTCAACAGCAACATTGTACGCCATCAGGTAAAACATAGGATACATTTGCTTTGCATTGTACCCACCTTTTGACAGTCATATAGTATGATGCAATTCCATATTACATTCGTCATGAATGTGAGTTGTTGTTATTCAGCCTGTTCTATCTGCCCCTTTTTTGCCTTTGAGCACCCGCCCATTTAAACGTCTCTGCACGGCCCTGATAATGACGACGCGGAGTAATGCGTGTCTCTGTTCCTAATTATTCAGAGATTACAAACCATCTAGTGAACCCTCACGTTACACATGTTTCTGATGTGGCTTCATCCCAGATACACAATGACAAACAGCTTTACTTTAACTTTACATTTTTCATGTGGTTTCTTTCTGGAGAGTCCAGAAACACAAACACTCAGAGCCTGAAACACCGAGACTAACGGAAAATATTGTTTTCTCTTAAAATCAAAGCGACAGGAGAGCGAGCAGAGAAAGAAACGACAGAGCAAATATTCACAGCATATTTCCTTTGTTCGGCAGAAACATCTCTTTCCATGTCACGTACAGCTGCCTCACTCACTCAGAGCTCAGGGCGCGGTCAACTTCGTTGGTCGGGCTGTGAGTCCGTTACCGTGAACTATGGAGCGGCTGATTTGTGCTGTTTGTGCTGGAACTAAGCTGCACACAGCTGATGTTAGCCAGGAAACATTACACACTGCTAAAGTTTCCGTAACACATAGCTTCACACGGAGACGTGTCACTACCCGATCCGTACCGGAAACCCGATCGGTACCCCGCATGCGCGAAAGGTGTCTACTTCCGGTCGAAGCATTTTACGATAGTTACAGGTCAGAGTACCTGTTAAGATGTTAAGAATAACAAGTATCTCTT